AGCTTTGCTCCTTTCCTGGAACTCACTCTGTAGACCAGGCTGGCCTCGAACTCACAGAGATCTGCCTGCCTCTGCCTCCTGAGTGCTGGGATTAAAGACGTGTGCCACCACTGCCCGGCGTCTCAGCTCAGCTCTGAATTTCCAGAGAGACTCTGGTCAGCCCAGCTGGGTCAGGCGGTCCACGCCTCTTCCAACCATAAGGATGGAGATGAAGGCTCCTGACTCCATCGTGGCTGCTCCCAAGGGGCCGTGGCTAGGGCAGAACCCACATAGGTCTCACTTGGGGTCAGTCCTATCAGAGGAAATTCCTCTTCCTCCACCACAGCCCCACACAACATTGGCGCTGGAATCCTGTTGGCCTTGCACCTGTGTCTAAATCACCCATTTCTTCCCACTGGCTCCAGCACCCCCAAATTCAGAAACCTTTTGTGTTCTGGTGATGCTGAGAGAAGCCTAAAAAAGTTTAGGAACCAGAGAAATAGCTTAGTTGGTAAACCGCTTGGCATTATGCAATTGTGAGGACTTGAGTTTGATCCCTGGCATCCATGGTGAAAGCTGAGGATGGCGGTACCTGCTTGTCATACCAAGGCTGGGGAGCCTGAGACAGGGTGGTCACTGGGCTCCCTGGTGCCAGCCAGAGACTTTGTCCAAAAACAAAAACAAGGTATACCGCTCCTGAGGGACCATACTGGAGGGTGCTCTCTGGTCTCCACACATGTACATATGTGCACATGCACCCTCACTGACACTCATATACACATGCATATACACACTCGCACACTCATATACATCATATACACATACACACGCACACACATACACACACGAAGGTTTGAGTTAGCTGGGACCATTACCCACAGACACAGGCCTGGTGGGACAAGGTGGGGACCTCAGCTAGCTAGCTCTGGAACTTTTTCTTTCAGTTCCTTTCGGATCCATTTCTGGGGATGCTGATATGGAGGCAGCCTTCCGGTTCAGCAGCCTCAAGGGAGACCCCGGGAACCCACCTGCGCCCAGGCACAGTGAGAGTTGATTGGAAGTATGATTTGTCTGTCGCTCCTTCACCTCGAATACTGTTTACTAAATAAAAATAAATGTGTTTTCCTCAGCCCATCCCTATCCACTGCTTTTTGAA